TTCTTTATTTGAAATCTGATATGATATGTGTTAGGCCATAAAAAATTGAAATCTTGGTTCTCAGGCCCGTGCGCATCCGTTTTGAGGTAGCCGCATTGCCGATTTTATTGTACTTTTGAAAAAATAAAAAGTTGGTATTGCGGAGACCAATCCGGGAAAAAAAATTCCGACCTCATTTGTTTCGTAGTTTAGAATTCAAATTTCACTTCCGGTAGCCATTTACAATGAGATTTTGGCTACTTCGTTTGAAAATACATTCGAGTACATTATCTACGATGTTTACACGCTGTTAAGCAATGGATAAAGCAGAAATTTTGACCAGAAATGGAAAGTATATCTATGATTAAAAAAATTATCTTTATATTAAAGAAAATTCGGAAATTAGAATTAAAAAAAATAACTCCCTCATCTACTTTATTGCCAATAAAATGAAAAATAAAATGCCGCCCTCCCGCATCTGTTTTCGAGAAAATTGGCCTGAGAACCAGGGAATTAAATTTTGATAGCCTATATGTATATATTTAACAGTTTTACTGCCTGGGGACCATTTTGTCTATGCAAATCTCCTTTGTGGGTTTCCAACCTGTTCAATCTAGTGAGCACATGGCTGTAAGTATTTACTTGTTTAAAGTTTTACACCAAGAATTTTCTTCTAAATTTTAATTCATAAGTTCTATTTTATGTTATGATTTGCTAATGCTTTCTGTTATATAACAGGCCCTGGGAGTATTTGGACTCTGTCAGATGCATGCCTTTATTGACTATGTGAGATCTAAGCTGAGCGCTGAACAATTCAACATTCTGTTCAGGAGTATCATCCTCATTGGTGCTGTTGTTGGTCTGTCTGTCGCTGCTATTGGAACGGCTACTGGCAGTATCCTTTATTTTATTATAATACAGAAAGTTTTTTTGTGATGTTTATTTCTGCAAATTCCATTTTTCAGTTGTAATGAAGGAAAAAAAATAAGAGCTGTGTGTTAAAGGGAGAGTACTCTGTCACTAGAAAATTATGAAATACAGTACAAGAAGACAAAATAAAAATTGATGGAATGCTAGTATGTTAAAGTTAAATTGCAGATAACAAGAGTGAGTTCCCTTCTTATATTAATATTATTATATATGACATGTATGTGTTATTCCTTAACTGGTGTAAGAAATCTCCCCCTGGACTGGTCGTTTCTACTCCCTGCTGGACCCCTCCTATGCTAAGAACAACATCCCCATCATTGCCTCTGTATCAGAACATCAGCCTACCACCTGGAGTTCCTTCTACTTTGACTTACAGATGCTCACCATCATGTTCCCAGGTCAGGAGAAGGCATTGTTTTGTTTTCAGTATTGTTTTATCTTTCAACTGCCCACTGAAAGATTTCAATAGATGCTTATGAATGCATGTCAAAGATTAAAGTTTTTCTGCCTAATTTGTAACTTGTGAAATTAAGCATATATTTTCTGTTTTAAATTTTGTTGTTATACTATTCTAAAATCATGAATTCATTTACTGGGTATGTTTCAAATTTTCAGCTGGCCTGTATTTTTGCTTCAATCGCCTGACAGATGCCAACATTTTTATCATCATGTATGGTGTCACCAGCATTTATTTTGCTGTAGGTATTTCCTTGTATATACTCTTCTTTTTCATTTAACTTCTACAGATATGCCATGAATATGCTAAGATTTGTAGTAAAAATAAGATATTAGTGTTATTCTGTAGGGTGTCATGGTCCGTTTGATGTTGGTACTGGCTCCAGTCATGTGTATCCTCTCTGGTATTGGAATATCTGCGACTCTCAACACATACATGAGGAACCTTGATGTGTCACGAAAGGACAAAAAGTCAAAGAAGTCTTTTGATCAGTCCTACCCATTCAAAAATGAGGTAGATTAGGACTTCTTTTGGACCCTAATAATGAAAATATTGAAATATATCTAGGTCTATTTTCTGTAAATTACACTGCAGAGCATCTACACATACTGTAGATCACTAAATTTTCGCGACACCTTATTTTCGCGAGATAGTCATTGACTCTTTATTAGCGAGACATAATTTTCATGAATTGTTGTTTTTCCTCTTTATAATCGTTAGAAATACTTTTAAACGCGAGAATGAAATTTTTGCGAGCTCATTGTCTTGCGTAATTATGCGAAAATTAAGTTCTCGCGAATAAAACGTGATTTACAGTACTGTAAAATCACTTATTTTCGAGGGGTCATAATTTTGTGGTTTAAGGAGAACCTCAGTACTGTAGTACCAAATTTTAACATTTCAAGGGAGATTTAAATTTGTGGGTGTCTCCGACAAATTGCAACAATGAAAATTAATCTACAACGAAAATTAGTTATTTCTAAGTATATAAATCAAAAGAAATATTCAAAAGATTTTCAATGCATATACATGTATTAATGTCTTTTTTGTTCACACAGGTAGCCACGGGTGTGGTCTTTATGGTGACAGCTTTCCTCATCACCTACACCTTCCACTGTACCTGGGTCACTTCCGAGGCTTACTCCAGCCCCTCCATTGTTCTGTCCGCTCGGGCCGGTGATGGGGGAAGGATCATCTTCGACGACTTCAGGGAGGCTTATTATTGGCTTAGGCACAACACTGCAGAGGTAACATTCTGGGGACCTGTTCTTTAGCATTAAGAGGAACTTTTATAATCACATTTGTACCTCTGTGTGCATGGATTATATATAAAATTCATGAGATAATTTGCAAACATTTCACTAAAAGGGCTGTTTTCTCGTAATAGAAAATTGATCCAGTAGATAAAAATATCAAAATTTTCAATTTTTTCATGGTAACTTTTCAGGATGCTAAAGTGATGTCATGGTGGGATTACGGTTACCAGATAACAGCAATGGCCAACAGAACAATTCTAGTGGATAACAATACATGGAATAATACTCATATATCAAGGGTGGGACAGGTAGGTGTATTTTGTCATAATAATATATATAAATTCCTTAACATTCTACATGTAGTTCATATAATGTATTAATAGATATTTGACCCAAGTCATTTTCTTTCCTTTGTAGGCTATGGCATCAACAGAAGATAAAGCATATGAAATAATGAGGGAGTTAGATGTTAATTATGTCTTAGTAATATTTGGAGGTCTTACTGGGTATTCCTCTGATGGTAAGCTTGCTGCCTGGAAAAGGTTGTTCAATTAAACTTCAAGTTTTCCAATATTACATGTAAGTTTAGAAATTCTAAGGTCATCCAGTATTAATTTTATTAGTCCACAATTAATGTTCACCATTTCAGATATCAATAAATTTTTATGGATGGTCCGTATTGGAGGCAGTACGGACAGAGGAGCCCATATAAAGGAGTCGGATTACTACACACCTCAGGGGGAATTCCGGATAGATAAAGAGGGCTCCCCCACCCTCCTCAACTGTCTGATGTACAAGATGTGTTACTACAGATTTGGGGAGGTCTACACAGAGGGAGGTGAGTATTTTGAAATGACGTGTTATTTTAAAAAAGTTACCAAATAGGGAAAAATAAGGGTCACTTAATTTAGGACAAAAGCAAACAAAATACAACTTGGAGAAGTTTTTCACATTCACAATGGGTATTTGTGTTTATAAAGTCAAAAGTTATTTTTAAACTGAATGCCCCTTAAAATATTTTTGTTTATAAAGTACAGTAGTGTATTTTGACTTTTTGATCTACAAAGTAAAATGAATTTAATATTTATACTACAGTCAAAACTGCCATAGCGAACCACTGTATTAAGCGACTCGCTGTCACATGTGACCGTAAAAATTCCCCCCAACGCTTTTCCCTATATATTTTACCTGTATTAAACGACCACCTGTCTTACGCGACCAACGACCGTTATTTTTCTGACCATTATTAGTCATTTAAAGCAATTTTACTTGAATTTAACGACTACATAATTTCCCATTCCTACTTTCGATTTCGGTTGAGCATGCTTCGTTTTTGGTTCAAACCAACTACAGACACGCATTTATTTCATTTAATAATTACATAATGCGAGTTTTACTAATAAAACAACATTTAAAGATGAATATTTTTACTTACGCTTTGATATTTATTGAATAAATATTAAAATCTAAAACATAAACATCACGTTTTTCTGTCCAGTGATCGAGCGCCATTTTGAAGATAGACGTTTGAGGTCGAACCCGATGTCATTTCATGCTAAGTGGCCTATTAGGGCCAAATGGATATTCAGTTATAAACCTGCCTTTTTTACTTTAATTAACAAGTAACTAAACCCTAGATGTTTATTTAAGGGCATTGTGTCACCAGTGGGTTTGTAAACACATGCTAGCTAGCACCCACACCATGTGATAATTACCTGGTCACAAACAGGCAATTAGACACGGTAGTTCAGTAATGAAAAAAAGGATAAGAAATTTTTATTTCTTAACAGGACAATTGTAAAAGCATTTCAGAGTTAAGCAGTACCTATTAAAAAGTGGAAATAAACATAAGGTGTTGTAATTAAAATACATTCAACATACACGTGATATTTTCAGCATTGTATATTTGAACACTGCGGAAAATAAGCAACCTGTATTAAGAGACCACCTGTCATATGTGACCTTTTTTCCTTTCTCCGTTGGAAGGTCTCTTAATACAGGTTTGACTGTACTGGAATTTTTTTCCTTTCATTGCATGGCTCTCTGTCTTTTACAGGAAAACCCACTGGATATGATAGAGTAAGAAATGCAGAAATAGGAAACAAAAATTTTGATCTGGACGTTTTAGAAGAGGCATACACAACAGAACATTGGCTTGTTCGTATTTATAAAGTGAAAGATTTAGACAACAGAGGAGCATAAATATCATAACTGGTTTAGTTACATTTAATTCAAATTGTACCATTCATTTATTTAATGAAACCAAATAGTTGTGATGCTATTTATGTGAATATTTGCTGCATTTCAAGATTTTAAAACATTTACAGTATCATTGAAAAGTATGTATGGTATGTTATAAAGCAAGATAGGCAATTAAATCAGAATTTTGACATTTATTCTCAGATTTCTTAGATATACAAGTTAGCCATGTCACAATGTACCAGTACAATGTTCTGACATTTTAAATTACATGAAAATATAGTACATATACAAAATTGAATCTTTGTTTTTGTTCTTTTTACCAAGGCTCTGACAAAAACAATTAAGTTACTGTGGAATTATTCAATTTCATGGAGGCTAAATAATGGGGGATTTAGAGGAAACATGAAATTATGTAAAATTTAAGCAATCTACAAAAATTGGCCTCCACAAATTTTAATGATTTCACAGTACACAATTGGAGAATTCTCAGATCTGTATCTTTTATAAAGATATGACATAAAAGACAATGACATCGTAACAATATAGGTGTTGACAACACTGCTCTGGCACATCTCTCGACTGTATTCAGTCTAATAAAAATAATTTGGTGCACTCAGTATGATACTTCCAACAAGGAGGCACACTTCTGCTAAGAAAACCTGCCAACAATGTCACAAGAAGTGGCCAATTGTTGATAGATAAAAGCAAACCAGTGTCCACAGAACACCTTTCATTAGGTTCAGGATGCAGTACTTGGGTAAAATCAAGTTTTTCTCATTACAATCATGGTGTTGATTTCCCAGATAATGGTCCTGATTTGATCAATGATAGCCTTCAACTGTCTGTTCTTCATTCTCAGTTGCTAAAATAGAAATAGTCATGATAAATAAAACAAAATAGCATGAAGAGCATATATGAAAACGGTTAGTAATAATACCAATGTGTAGATGATAGACTTAATACATTAGGCCAAGCTTAAAAAATTCTCTGTTTGCAGTTGCTGACCTATAATTTTTAGAGTGGGTTGGAAAATATGATTTTTTTTAACACAGATTTTAGTATTCTCGTTTTTGTTGATTACAAATCAGAAATTTTCATGTTTATTTTATGCAAACAATAAAGCTCTACTTATTTTATGCCAGTTATTGACAGAAACAAAAATTTTAAAAATAGTAAATTTAACAAGTTTCAAATCAACATCCTAAAAATTTGAAACTACCAAAAAAAAAATCTCAAATAATGGCTGAAAAAAAGTTTGAGTCTGGTGCATTTTTAATGGGTCAGTAGGCAACTGCAAACAAACATTTTTTTTTAATTTTAGGCCTTATACAGTGTTGGTTAATGTCTTACCTCCACTATTTCTCGGTTTTCCTCTTTACCAAACTTATACTTGAAACAGGAGTCTGCACCTGGAGTGAACTTTTCTTCAAATGGCTGTCCCACAACAGCAACTAAAGTCTACAAAGCAAAACAAGGTTATTCTTGTATAATAGTTCATCAATATTAGTTTTTACAAGCAGGATGTAAAGCTTCAATAAATGAAATATGGTTTAAGTTGCAATGAGATAATTTTGGATAAATTATGAATAAGAAATAAAGAACAAAGAAATATTCAAATTTAATCATAATGTAAGATGAAGGAAAGCTTTTCATTAAATGTCTTCATTGCAGTTTAAAATACAACATGTATACACAATTTTAAATTTCACTGATCCCAACAGCCTAAAAATAATGCCACATGAAATTGGATTCTTATTTATATGGAATCATCCTCAGGTAGTGTAGATTCATGTTTGTTCAAACCATGACCCCCTATGAGGTTGTTCAAGCCCCCCCCCCCCCCCCCCCCCCCCGACTCAGTAAACTTTCAGTTCGGATCTGATATGTTCTTTTTCCTAGCAAATTGCTCAGGTGAGCAATGTGGCCCCTGGGCCTCTTGTCATTAAAAGCCTTAAAAATAAGAAACAGCACAAAGGATATTATGCATAAAATCAACCCCTCCCACCTAATAAATCTAATAACTTACTTCTTCTGCGGGTTCATCCGGACACATTTCATTCACTCTGTCGTAAAACAAGCGGATTTTCTTGAACAATATGGTGAGCTGTTCTAGCTGCTCGCTGACCTTTGCCCTCCTCTCCTGAGCGAGCTGAGCATTACAATTCATACCATTAGGTAGCTGTAAATAAATGGAAATTAATAAACAGTAACCTTCTACATGGATCAATTGTTAAAACATGCGTGTTTCATTTCTGTGAAATTCCACTTCTGGGCATCAGAATCAAGAAATGAGTGTGCTGACAACTATTAAACTGTTTTTAGCAAAGGACTATAGTGCTGGTCTATTATATACTAGAACAAAACCAAGTTACTTGTGACCTCTGAATTTGAAGTAAGGCTGCATGCAGCTATAGCAGAAAAAACATATATAACCCACTTACAAGAATTATGCATTTTCTTGCAACAGCTCCAGTATTATTTCCCATACTAGCAACCAAACAAAGCAATATTTTTTTGTTTGAAACAAATCACTGTATGTAATAATAAACACAACAATGCACTTACACATGTATTTTACAATACCTGATTTCCCTTAGTTGTCATGTACTTGAAGATCTCCTGCATTTTCTGAAACAATTCCTGTACACATTCCTGTCCCTTCTTACACATGTTGACTCCATTGATCTCTTTGGTAGGGGACATCATCTGTTGTGTCTACATTTAATGATGGATAAATGTTCATTACATTAAAGCCAGAAATACTTATCTAAGAAAATATGTCAATGAAGATAAGACTTATAACAGTACATGTTATACACAACAAGTATTAATATATTGCTATGTGGCATACAGTGGTGTGTTATTTTGATTCCTACTTTTTATTTATGCAGTAATAATTTTTTGTAATTCAGCTAATGAGGAATGTCTTTTCTTGCAAGGTAGCTACAACTAAATCAAAAATAACATAATTCATTAAAATTTGTTCTATTTTTCTCTGTAAATTTGTTGTGTGTATAACCTGCTGAGGTAAGGTTGTTTGTGTCTGAAGCCCCATCATGCCTTGCTGATTTTGTTGCACTCCCATCATGCTTTGCTGGTTTGCCATCATGCCTTGTTGCTGTTGCTGCGGTTGCTGCTGCTGTTGCTGGTTTGCCATTGTGTTTGCCGGGTACTGCTGACCCATTCCTTGTTGGGACATCATTGAATGGCCGTATGGATGTCCTGGATTTGCCATAGTGGCAAAATCACATCAAATTAAGAAGTGTGGATTCAATCTGAAAGAAAAAGGTGATTTTCGATCTGTAGCGTTATGGTTTTATATATTTGTCTTTGACCATAACGCTACAGATCCCGTTGTGCAAAAAAGGTGCAATTTACGGCGCAATATTTTTTGCGCTCTTTCTCCACTTTCTAGCATTGGTCAATCAACTACCTTTCACTCCCTAATTCTAGACACATTATGTAGCCAATATGTATAGTTTACCCACCTCCCAACCATTTATAGTGCGCGCTTGATTTGTCTACACCTTACTACACCCGGTGTAGACGATTTACACCCAATAATCAAGTGAAATTGGGTGTAGTGTGGCAAATTCAATATGGACGTCAAAATTTTAACAAACTGAGGGGGCCTATTTGCAAACGATTTTTTTAATAAAATATTTGTTGCGATTGTGAATATTCTTTTAAAATTCCTTTAAAAACAAAACATTTTACAAAATGCAAAGAATTTTTTATTAAACATTTTCCTAGCTGTCCATAATTACCCCTATAACCAAATATCTAGCTATAATCAAATATATCTAGAGACTTTAACACCCAAACTTGCAAAATTTGCTTATTTTTTTATTTTACAAATTATGAAGTATTTTATTTTCCTTTTAAAATGCACAAAACATGGTCCAGTATATAACTAAAAACAATTCATCACAATGAATCTATAAAATACTTGACAGTAAACTCAAGTACAAAAAAAGAAATTCTGCAGTTTTACCGTTTTCTCATTTGTCAGCCATATTGAATTTTAGGTGTAATTACCAACACATGCCCTGCACAGGGTGTAGAAGGTGTACACCAAAAGTGTACACTTTTGCACTTGATTATGAAAAAGTGTACACGGGATGTAAGGTGTAGACAAATCAAGTGCGCCCATAGTTGTCTCTACAGGCAATAACCTCGCTGGAAGTGAATTTTCAGTAATCTAACAAATAATTTTAATCAAGCGAGTTTATCACTTGTAGAGACGACTATAAAGGGACTTAGGGTTGGGATAGATAAAATATACAGATTAGTTAAATAATGTGTTTTGAATTAGGGGTTGAAAGGTAGTTGATTGAACGATGCTGGAAAGTGGAGAAATTCTCCCCAAAAGAGCGCAAAAAATATTGCGCCGTAAATTGCACCTTTTTTGCACTACGGGATCTGTAGCGTTATGGTCAAAGACAAATATATAAAAACCATAACGCTACAGATCTGCAGCTATGAAAACAGGTGCTTTGCTGTGATTCATGATACTTTAAAAGTGATAACACAAAAGATGTTTGAGTACCATACATGATCTTTTTTTTGGGTTAATTGGAAAAGCACTTGTCCGAGGGCAGGCATCTGTTCAAATTACTTGCCCACCAACCAAAATGGTTGTCCCAGGCGTCGGGCAATATTATTTGTCCTGCCTTGCAGTATACAATAGAAAACATACAATATACTACAGAAAACTGTTTATATCAATTATACCATACTCGTGCACATTCATTGTCTATTCCTGTATAATAATGGAAAACAAATGAAATTTCAATACCCCCACCACCACCACCCACCCACCCCCACACTCACCTTCAAATTCAACAATACACAGGATCAATAAAGTCAGTAGATATCACTCGATTGACTATGTCATGTGCTTATGCGTGAAAAAATTCTAAATCCTTTGGAGACTGTTTCACAATGGGCCATTGTATGACTTATGACATAAGCTATGTTGCTCTTTTGCAGTACAAAATGATAAATGTTGGTGAAATATAATCTGATTATGTAGAAAGAATTATTAAAAAGTATATATGGGGTAACTCAGTATTTTATTTTTTTAAACTTAAAAAGTTTATCTTAGGAAATACCTTTATTTTCCTAGCGCTCTCCCGATTCGCAAACATGTTGGTCTAAATCATGAAATGAAAGCAAGGACTGCGCATGCGTACAACATTATGAAGAAAAATATATGGAGTCTCATGCTGGCCATATTTAATAATTTTCAATTTACGACGGATACCCACGGGTGATCTCGTCATCTACTAAAATCATCACCAGGTGATAAGATGAGATCACCCGTGGTAATTCAAATATGACCAAAAAATGCACACACATTTTTATTTTCTGACTTGGAGAAAAAAAAGATCACATGTTCATCAAATAGTACAGTATTTAGATGGTTATCCAAGAGCAGCTTGAAGATCTTTGAGAATTATTAAAGGAGCGTTGAAAGAGTTGAAGTTGATAATTACTTACCTTGTAATTGGTCATTTGCAAAATCATTTCGTTAAAAACATTGTAATTGAACATTGACAATATCTACCGGTATGTGGTTTTTACTGAATTAAGAGACACGATCTTTCAACAATCTATTGGAATTTCCATTGGTACCAATTCCGCCCCGTTATTAATAGATCTATTTATGTATTCATATGAAGCAGAATTTGTTCAAGATCTTACACGTCAAAAGAAGAAAACACTTGTCGTGGCCTTCATGGGGCTGTGACAGTGAGCTTCCATTGTGGCAATGAGGCAACTGCCTCACTAGATTTTTCAGAACGATCCTCTTCCCATAATTGATATATCGTAGAAAATATTTAATTTGTTTTAAATAAAACCTAATTGTTTTTATTTATCATTTAAACAAATCAAAAAAATATTGTGCTTTCATATCAATATGTGCAGGGTTAAATTTCACGAGATCGGGATCTAGTTCTAAAACCTAAAAGTAATTTTATATATATGGACCAAAGAAGGGGACAGACAAAGACGACGCCCTTTCTAAAGAAAAGGAAAATTGTAAGTCTAGAAATTAGAATGGGCGTCAAGTATTTCACAAACCCTGTAAACTAGTGAATACTTTTATTATCTTTCAAAATAATGCCGAATTCAATGTTAGATTTTAATACCGGTGTAAAGACGAATAATGACTTCCATCGAATAATGACCGGGGGTTTATTTTTCAACGACAAAAAATGACCCCCACCCGTAGAAAAAAAAAATCATTTTTTGTAGAAAAAGAGTCCTAGGGGTCATTATTTTATATGTTAGTCCTATAAAAAATTTACCCCATTGAAAAATGACCCCCTTTAAAGTGATACAAAATTTATAACAGGTGAAAGGGAAAAAATATGCTGTATACTATAATTGTTTTTCCTTCGAGTAATTCATGCATTTGTTAGAATAGATTTGATCTTTGATCTTCTTAGCACGTAGGGGTAATAAAGACTTCTGGCTTTTAAAACCAATTTATTTTAAAAATACAAAGTCACTCCAAGTATTTTATAGATTAAACAGTGTTAGCAAAAAATAATGAAAATAAATAAATTAATTAATAAATTTCTTTAAAAAAATAATTAAATAATTTATGAAAAAACAGATAGATAAATACTTTCTGAAGCAATGATTTATTAATTTTTCAGAGTTATATTTCAGAGTTATGACAGAACTCAATAAGTCTCTTCACAAATAAAAAAAAATCACTAACATGTGTTTCAAATCTTGTTAAAAATTTCACAGGTAAATAAATCTGTGTACTAAATTGATAATCCCACATCTTAGGTAACCATACAGTGCTCTTGGAGGGTGTATACTTCTTCTTTTTGCTTCGTTGCCCGCGTGGCGCAGTGGTTAGAGCGTCTGCTCTAGAGTCAAGAAGTAAGGAGTCAATTCTTACGTCGCGGGTTCGAATCCCACTGCGGGACGTGGAGACCGGTCCTTCGGATGAGACCGTATAAACCGAGGTCCCATGTCGCAGAAGGTGCTTGCATGGCACGAAAAAGATCCCTCCCTGCTCAATGGCCCTAAGTGCCGAGTAAAGGACAATACTTGCAGTTCTCCACCGGCAAATGGTGGCGTCTCTATATGAGTGAAAAATTCTCGAGCGGGACGTTAAACAATATTTATACAGTCAATCAATCAATCTTTTTGCTTCAATGAACATATACAGGGGTGTACTGGGGCATATACTGGGGTTTACCGTAGAGTCTGTAGGAAACAGTAGCTATACAATAGCATACTGTAGGCGTATCGGGGCCTACTGTATGTAACTGTGGCATGCTGGGGATACATACAGTGGCATGCAGAGATTTACTGTATATACAGAGCTGGCATTCCGTACAATACTATAGATATACCGTTGATTACTGTGAACATGCTGTAGGATACAGCGAAAGACAGGGAATTTTCATACGGACAGGGGTTTTAAAAGCCAGTAGTGAAAGTTCCTCATTTCTCTCTGTCGAAATATTGACAAATTAGTTTTAAGCAATTAACAATCAATCAATTTATCTTCATTTCTCTGATAAAGAAGCAAACCTAGAAAATCAAAGATGCTACATGTAAATGGATCAAACGCACGCTGGAGATGAAATTTATGAATATATATATATTTTTTTTCTTTACTGACTCCATTGAAACGTTGTTTCAGAAAAAAAAATTGTTGGGAAAAAGTAGAAATTTGTGTAGCAGACGAATTAATATCGGTGCGTTCAAAGAAGTAATTTGTTCGAATTAATCCTATTTGACAATGAAAGAGGATGAAATTTGTATCCCCCCCCCCTCCCCCAAAAAAGAACATTACGTTAAATAAAAAAAAATAAAAATAAATAAATGAAAAGCAAAATTATAGATAAAACTCTATACCTTTCAATAATACTGAAAGAGGCTCTAGATAAAATATTGAAATGAAGTTAAGCCTTCACAAAAGTTCTATCATATCATAATTTACTTCGCCATGATTAAAGCATACTTTAAATGTTGGTGGGGGTATACTTGAAAATATTTTGGCAAAGTAACAGTTGAAAATTAGTAGAATAGTAGATTATTTTAAGCTTCTTTTTAGTCCCTCCTTATAGAAAAATAAAGGTAAGGTATTTTTTTGTTGTTGTTGCTTTTGTTGATAATTGACTTCCTCCTAAATAAGTAAGGGGGTGGGGTGGGTATAACACCTGAAAATATGCTCTGTAAAGCTATAGGCTAGTGTAAAATACACATTCTAATGCAAAAACTATTCATGTAGACATAACCTTTTGATTTAGCACACAGTATTCATCACATTTCTTAATTCTTGTTTTATTCCACCCTTTTACTCAGTTCTGAGAATATTTTTCATAGAATTTAATTTCATTTTTTGTAACGTCTTCTTTATACTGTATCATGATATGGAAAGTTAATTGAAGACAATTTCTTTTTATGTCCCCGTAATCGAAGATTCGGGGTATATAGTTTTATCGTGTCTGTCTGTATGTCTGTCTGACTATCTGGCGGTCTGTTTGTCCGCCAAAACTTTAGCCTTGACCATAACTTTTCATTTATTGGAGCTATGATTTTCATATTTAATATGTGTATTCCTTGTGACAAGACCTTACTTTGGGTACCACCAAATTTGACCTTTTGACGTTGGAGATTTCCGTACTTATGAAAAAAACTTTAACCTTGGCCTTAACTTTTGAACGATAAGGGCTAGAGTTTTCATACTTCACATATGTAATCCTTGTTACATTAAACCTTTCTTAAGAAACCCTTTGACCTTTGTGTTTGACCTACCTTTCAAAAACTTTCCCTTAGCCATTACTTTTGAACAAGTGGTGCTAGGGCTTTCCTATTTTGCAATTGTATTTCTTGTGAGAAGACTCTACTTTGGGTACCAATATATTTCAGTTGCATTTAAAAAAAGTTTGATCTTCGTTATGTTGCCATACAGGGGCATAGCAGTTTCACAAACACATCTTTTTATATATAAGAGGAGTTGCGGATAAGAGATGGATACCCCAAAGCGTAACAGTCGGACGGACGGACATCCCGATCACTATATACTCTCCCGCTTTTCAAGTGGAGGATATAATAATATATAATACTGCTGATTTTTTCTGTCAGTACTATGATTTCCACCATTGAAAAACAATGTTTACCTAACCCTTTAGGCTCGATAAATCTTTTACTCCTTTCGATTCTGAATCATCGTATTCATATTGACCTTAAAATATAGCTATAATTGTATAATGTTATGAGATCAACATATCATCAGTTTATTCCCAGTTAGCTCAGGTGAGCATTTTGGCCAATATGCTTCTTTATCTTTTTTTTTGCCACCCTAAAAATTTCAGCTTTAATCCACAGGGAGTCATTTTTCTACGGGGGTCATTTTTCTTCACGTAGATTCTGCAAATTTTTAGGGTGGTGACACTTTTTCTACGGACAAAAGGGTCATTTTTCGACGTCGAATAATGACCAGGGGTCATTTTCGCCGTAGAATATTGACCAGGGGTCATTTTTCGCCGTCGAAAAGTGACCCCCGGTCATTATTCGATGGGGGTCATTATTCGTCTTTACACCGGCCCCCCCACTTTTTTTGCCAACAATACTTTTACTATTGAAAATGTTCGTCGAAAGACTGGTTACCCCCCCCCCCCACTTTATACTAAAGTAAAGTAATATGAAGGAAATTTAGTACTGTAAGCTTAAATCAAAGTACTGAAAGTACTCATGGGAGTTGAACATTGTTATCTGAAAGATCTCACAGGAAGTATAGGAACATCTTCATGCATTCAGATTCAAGTCAGCTAGAACTGATTTGTTAAAGATACAAAACGAAACATTAAAATGATTTCTATTGCATTTAAATAGCCAAGATCATGGGACTGCTCTTAAATTAGCTGCAGAATTGTAGCTCTCCGAAAAAAAAATTGACAGACCGGAAAGCTACAGTGCTATCCATTGAAAAAACTGTATATTTATTGCGCACGAACAGTTAAGTTTAGTTCTGGATTAATTCTTTCTAATTCTTACCTCAACAATTTGACCAAACCAAACAAACAACCCCATCACCAAAAATTTTTTTTTCAAACTCGAAAATACTATTTTTGTTGTTAGGTTTTAAACTTCTTTCAGTACCATTTATTACTAAAACTCAAACACTACCCTTATATTTCTGAAACATTTGAATCAAAATGCCCCCTACTCTCTTTAGAATGTTTACAAGATATTTGGTCCCAAGAAACAAACAAACAAACACTCTTTATATTCGATGTTACCATCACCAGACACTAGATTGTCATTTTTCTTTCTCTGATTAAAACAAGTATTTGCTATTCTCTTTTGGGTATGAATGTTTCTTTTCGGACACAAAAATTAATTTTTATAGAACTCCATGCTTATCTATTTTATCAAATGTATAGATCTATCTTCATAACTTAATCATCAAGTTTTGTTATTCCATAATTTTAAATTTCATTTCAAGTAATATCTATATAGAACTATGTATGTCTGAATACTTTACATCTTGTTTGTTTTACGTTCGATAATTTTTCAATCATATAGAAACACTTAGCTACATGTAAGTCTACAATTTTTTACCTATACACGACTTTCAAAACCATTGAGTAGTGAGGGATCGTTTTGTGCAAGCACATACAGCGACATGGGATTTCGGTTTATATTGTCTCATCAAAAGAATTTATCTCCAAAATGCATCCCACAGGATTCGAACCTGCGACGTAAGGATCAATTAACACATTACGTTGAATCTCTAGAGCAAACTATTTTAACAACTGCGCCACGCGAGTGAGACTTAAAGTTTGTGATTTTGATTTGATTCAAATGTAATTAAAAATCAGACATAGTTTAACGAGCTACTACAAGAAAAAAAATAGTTGTAATCATGAGGAACGATCTTTCTCACATATCGATCACTGGGATTATCGTACCATTGTGTCTGTGCATACGCACGTATTCATTAAATCTTAACTGTTTTAATTATATAATCATTTTATAAGGTAATACTGCAATACAAGTACACACACATTTTTCAAGTTCAGATTTGGTGTTGTACACGTGACCAACTGAATGCTGATAAATTCATGAAATTAAGGATGCAAAATTAATGTCATTTGAAATTGTGTGATCGAATATCAACAAACTTTAATGCTATTATTTTTTCCCTTTACCAACGTAAAAAAAATGAGTTGCATGTATCTGGTCTGACAAAAATTTTCCAGTCTAACAGATCATTTTACTTGTCAGAGCAAATAAATATTTTCCGCAGTGTTTTTTTAAAAAAAGAAACGTTGTTCTGTCTCTTTATTGCTGAAACAAATTGAAAGATCCTTACATCTTTGTTTACGTCTCTATATTTAGACAATCGCGTCATTGTCAAACCAGTTAGACCAGTTGTTGCTCCTTGGATGACCTAGCACTTTTTGTAAAGAAGTGTAGTGGAGTCAGCCGAGGATTGCCGAATGACAAGTAGAGCTTTTTAAAAAAGCTTACCGTCTTTAGCAACAATTTTAAATAGTAAACAGATCTACACTTATCAGGCCGTATGATTCTTTTGAATTTCTTGATTTTGTATTTCTAAATTAGCTTTTTACGGGCATTAGCCGTACTACGGTTGTCGCTCGGTCATCTCCGTAAACTGGCCGAGAACTTTCGGCAAAACTCGGTTGATTCCCATTCTCTCTTCAAACAAGACAGGGGAAAAAATAATAACAAATTGTAAAGCCTGCAAGCAATAGCTATCACATTTTATTTATAATGAAATTAAAGAGACCTTTTTATTTATTGCTATATAAAATATCATGATTTTGAGAAATAATTACTGCTGATTTTGTTGTTCGTTTTGTCATTTTTTTAAGATTGGGGTGGCAGAGGATAGTTTTTTTTGCAATCAAAATGTTTGACTGACGGTTTACTTAATATTGAGCTGCTTTAAAAATGTGCATTGAAAAATTTTAAATTCCCTCTACATGTAATAATAGTATGATGTAGTCCCTTGAGAAATTTGAAGCTTTTAGGAATAAAACATGTACAACTTACACAATGAGCCCTAAAGATGGCGCAGGGACAATCTCAAAATTTCATGTGAATCAAGCCTATTTTCACTATTTCGCCGCAGCCGCATCTGCTTCCAGGCCCGTGCGCCTGACCTAAGCTACCACACAAATTGCAGAATAACATTTGTACATACCAATGAACAGCAAGAGATAATGGCTCAACCACCTCGTTTTCAAGCTACAATTCATCCTGTGAACCCACCCCGCTTTTCTGGTGAAATACCGGTAGAGCGAGTTTTGAGCTTAGTTTCGTATTTCTAGTCCATATCCCATATACAGTAGTAGTGACACTAAAGTGTCATATTTCAATAAAATATACAAGGCCACCAATTCCCTCCAAATGCACCCATAAAATATTCTAGCTACAAAATTACCTATAATATGCATTCAAACCTCAGGTTTCTCTATTTCTTCTATTTTTTGACCGGTACTTTATTCGAAACTATCCTCTGCCACCTGGAAATCTTACAAAATTGTTAAGTCGTACGAAAAATAGATCATCAGAAAGTTATCTCCCTTGCCATGAACAGCATTTCAACCAATGAAATAATTGAAAATTTTCTCATCATGCAATTTCTACCAATCACAAAAGAGAGGAAGTGCATAGTCCGAAGACTGTAAAAAACTTCAACTATACAATACCGTCTTCCAAGGAAGACGGTAATAAATGTCGGAAAACTGGGACTTTTTTTTCATACGGAAATCAAAATTTTATTTATATTTTATGTGTCATTTCTCAAGAAAGATGACAAAAACATGCTATTCAAATTAAGTTTAATAAAATTCTATTTCATTTACTTTCAAATCATTTATGAAAATTAGATTAACTCAGAGAAATGAGATGGACTATTTTTATTGCGGAAGTTTCTTCGAGTTTATATAGACTGGTACGAGTTTGTATTGAATATCACAGGGGAGTAAATAGGGAGACACAGAAACACCACGACGACCGCTATATAATTCATTGTAGAATTACTGCGCTAGAAACTACGTGACAGCCTAGGGAGTCTGAACATGGTTCAACTCCCAAAAATGGATTTTGAAAGGAATTGGTAGTGAAGAAAGTTTGCCTCTACCCCCCCCCCCCCCCCCCCCCCCAAAAAAAATAGGATTTTCAACATTGGACAATTATCTTTTTTCTGCTTGTCAACTTTTTCAGGTAAGAAAAAAAAAATTCTGTGGCTGCCCCCCCCCCCCAGTTTCAAAATCGATGCTACGTGCTTGTTTGGAGCAAAGCAATCATGGACGTCCAAAACATCAGAGGTGGGATCAGGTGCTATGGAGGAGTGAGCACCCCCTGTCCACAGGCCATACCCACCGCCGTGTGTTCCTTGTCATGATTGGGAAATAATGGAAAAATCCGTATACAATTCAGTTTGTAAGGTTTGAAAGTTGAAATTTAGAAGTTTGTAGTAAATTTTAAATAATCAAAACACAAACTTTCTGAACAAACGATAGATAAAATGCTCAAAAGTTTAAAATCCAAAAATCGTTTTTGGAAATTTGGGTTTCGACATCTTAGGTAAAAATCAAAAATGTTAAAATTAGAAAAAAATGTTTGGCTATTTGAAAATTTAGATTTTTGAACTAAAATATTAAATTTCAATATACCAAATCAATGAGTTTTTAAAATAGAAATTTGAACCAGCGTATTAACATTCTAAAACTCAAAATCATTTTGGAAATTTGAATTGTTGTGTGACACGGACCCACTTCCTCATCACGCAATTTTCATCTTTAAAAGGCAAAGCAATCTTTAAAAGGCAAAGCTAAAACCTAACCATTTTGTTTATAAATTTTACAACCATCGGATTGTTGCTATTAGTATTAATTGGGTAAAAAAAAAGCAGCCCCTCCACTTCCACAAAGAATAGGTCATCAGAAGTTCCATCTGTGACTTTGGAATTAAAAATCCCTTTATCATTACCAGGAGATAAGTGCTAGATGAGATAAATATTAAATGCTCTTGATTCTGCATGTTGGTTTTAGCACAGGGGTTTGTGTACCTATCAATTTTACCGAAATGTTCAGTAAAATAAAAAATCTGTTATACATATACATGTACTTGTAATAATCACTTTGCTATTACTGGTACATGTACATGTATTACAGATTTTTTTTTTATATTTACTGAAAATTATGGTAAAATTGATAGATACAGTGTACCCAAACTCCTATGGTTGCATAAATTCAAGTTAACCTGATTAAACTATGTTGCCATTGATTTTATAGCTGTGTTGATTTCAATATCAATCATGTAAACTTTATAATCAAGTGGTTTCAATTGTGCAAACTCAAAACACAAAGAACGAGTAAAATATTGTAATTATCATTTAATTTCCCCACAATTCATACATGACAGCAACAATATAATACTACCAGGTTATACCTCAATCATCCTTAAGTATATCATGTAATATCTAACAGTCATTGAGAAGTATATATGCACATTGCAACACAAAATAAATTCATAATGAATATGAACTAGAAGCAAGTTGATAAAAATCAATGAATTTGCAATCAAGCCATGACAAGGTGAATCTATGTTTGCAGTTTGAATTTGCTGGTAGCAAGAGTGTGCTAAAAACCTTATAACACAACCATATAGATACATTTAGATAAATTTTATAAATACAGATAAAGTGAACAAATAATTAATAAGCACTGCTGTGAACAAATATGGGTTATTTCTTTTTTTTTATTAATCTTTTAATATACATGTATTGCTTTTTTTTTCAAATAAAAACTGCTGATAATAATTAAAAGGTTTGTATGACTTTCATTCGATTTAACTTGTTTCAATTCATTATAAGCAAGCAGGCCTACTAGAAGACTTAAAAGCAAGCAAAGATATAGAAAACAGGGTATGTATACTGCATAGGGATAAATAATATAAAAGCCAGCATACCAGCATGCATAAACAAATAATAAATAACGGAGATACTCCGAGACAGAAATAAAACAAATAAACATGAAAGCTGGAGCCTATGTGAAAACATGCATACTTTAAACTATTAAGCTTGCTATACAATGAAGTTCACATGCACTAGAAAGGAAAGTAGAAGCTGCGGATAAAAGTCATTCCCAGAAGCTCGTAGAAATAATCTAAAGGCGATGTTTATGCAACCTAAAAGTATATATGTATACATTATTACTTTGGATATATCCCTGAAAATAATGCTTAATAAGTCATTACCCAATAAATGTACATTTGTATATCACTAAACATTCATGACATGAATAATAAAAGATATCACACAATTTGAAATAGGTTTATATTTCATTTATGCATAATATTTCTTATCAATATTGTAACTGCCTGATTTAAGATCTTTATTTTTATGTGATTTATTTGGAACAAATGCTTTGAAAGAAATATATGTGATCTCTTTGCGTACTCATCACAACTTTGATTCACATTACAATTCTAAATAACAATAAGTAGGAAAAAGGTCCAATTTTGTCAAACATTTTAGAATAAAGAAAATGCACATTTTTTTGGGGGGGGGTATTAATATTATTAGATTATTATCATTATTATTTAATTATTATTAAATAATTCTTACATATTACATCCATAAAAATTGATTGTCTCCAGAAACAAATTACCCAATACATAGATATCACTAAACATTCATAAAAAGATATCACACAATTGTGGACTGATGCCCAAATTGTCTTCAATATTACTATCTACAAGTACATACAATGACATTTCTATGAACTGACAATAAAATATCTACTGAATTCATAATATACTATACATAAATATAATTTTTAAAATAACTAAGACAAAAATATAATAAATGTCATGAACAATTTTGATGTTAAGTTTGAATGCCACAAAGAACCACACATTAGTAGTTAGGTGCAGTCTGGAGACATCAGATATCTTACATATGTTCTGGGTGATTCTTTAAGCAGTCCATGAACTTTTTGGCCTCCAGTTTACCTTTACATATATCATGTATGGCAGTGAATAATGGAAACCTGGAAGTAAAGAATGAACATTTTTGAGACAACTTACTTCATACATGGAATAATTTAAACACAACATGCATTTTATCTTTATACCCTTTCCAACAACCAAGTATTTTAACTTGCTTTAACATTCTTAAAAGTGAAGAATAAAAACATCCCATTGCAAATATGTTCAAGGATATGCTTTGTTTGAATGATATCCAAATTTAATTTCAAAGCATATGAACACATAGTATTTTTTAGGATGGGAAACAAAAAGCTTTTTCCTGTCATAAAATATGATACTGATAACTAGACCCACCTATCTTCCATGTTTTTACTCTTTAGCATGTAATTGACTTCATAAGCTGTGGGTGGGCCTTGTAACTTCTGACCATTAAGCATCTCAGCTTCTAACGTCTCTATTGACTACAAAGTCAAACATACCCCGATAAAATTAAAGCATTAAATTACTAACATCTCTAGAAATAGGTACTAAGATACATTGGGTTTAAATATGAATATTCAAATATACAGTATATGCATATTCAGATTTTAATTTTTTTTAAATATTGCATGCGTTAATTATTGCAAAATTATCGCACCTTTCCAGTTGTAACAAAAGCCTCGGCTACTCTTCTGTTTCGGCCTCCATAACAAGTAGTGACAAGATCAGCTATTCCACAGCTCTCAAGAAATGTGGACTGGTTGGAGTCTTAAAACAGAAATTCAAACTTAGAATCTACATGTATTTTCTGTCAGATTGATCTTATATACATGAATCTTTGTTATATTTTTGTAAATACCTTGTACAGTAAAAAAAAGCACACACTTATTATTAACATGTTTAAAATGAATTCATTCTTACATTGAAGTGATTTTTTTGTCCCCTGTTTTACATGTATTAAACATAATTATAAACTTATTCACATAATTGCTATTATGTCTTTGCAGTGTGCTTTTTTTTTGTAGATTATAGAAGTTTAGCTTTTACTTAGAACCACCTATATATTTTTTTTGTATATTTCAGCCCCATTATTACCTGGATAGAAGACTTCACAGAACTTGATCATTTCCATGAGACCTAGTCTGATCACAGCTGCCTTTGTGTTGTCACCGTAGCCCAAACCATCAGCAAAACCAGCCCCTACTGCCACAATGTTCTGCAATCAAACATGTCATAAACTTTAATGAAAGTTACCATGATAGTTTTTTTTATTTCAAAATGATTAGAAATGATTTCCCTGATAATTATATTCAATTAGGATATATAATGTTTTCAACAATTAACAGACATTTCCCTAGATTCAAGAACTGAGGATGTTCCATCTCAAAAGTAATGTTAAAAGAGAGCTTTTTGAGTTTAGCATTGGAAAATATGAAATAATATGAGAGTTATACACTGTAGATGATGAAAATAGGAATATGGATTAAATTTCTGTGATTTTTTCTAAAAGTTCTCCAAAATCAAGTTTTCCAAACTAAAATCTTTATCCTTGTTGATTTTGGATTTCTCACAGGACTTCCTGTAGTAAACATTATCTCTATATATGATCTATTGGAAGGTGTAAAATATGAGAAAACCGCATTACCTTAAGAGCACCACAGACTTCTACTGTTGTTTCGTCATCACAAACAACAATTCTAAAATAATCTGTCTGGAAGAGATCTTTCAGGAGGGGACCATGCTCTTTAACTTTAATTCCTGTTTATAAATATAATACAATGATTTAATGCTCTAGAAACATACCTCTTATCTTACTACCCGGTACTCTTTACAGAGAAATATTTGCCCCAATTTTATTTTCACCTTCTTGCCTTTCTTCATAAGTGGGTGATTTTAAAATGGGGCAAAGAAAACAGCATAATCGGTATTTCTTTGGCACAAATCTCTTTGGATGAATTTGAAACAGGAATTGAAAAGGAAAATATAACCGTGAATACAGTTTGCAAATCTGTCATTTACATTTTGCATCAATGTAAATAGGGAACTTTTATCACGCATGGAAAAGTTTGTATAAATAAATAAACTCATTAACTTCAACACACCTACAGGTAATCATTTGATGCTCTGCTCTTACCTATTGTGGCCTCACAGTAATTTTCTTTGGCTACTTCGTTGGCAATATTAGCTCCCATTAAAGCTGCACAAGGGATCTTTAACATTTCTCGTATAACATCTGATATCAGCAGTATCCCACCTCCCTCCGCTACATCAAAACCCTAAAAAGTTTCAACAGCCTATATTATGCAATGCTTGACAACACTACTTTAATCATTACTTCTTTAGTATTCTTAATACAGGTTCCTCCCTTCCACACCATAGCTTTTGATATGCACAATTTAAGCAAGAGTTATCTCCCATTGATCACCATGTCCCCTTGGTCACCATATTGGAGGTCAACAGGCCTAGATTCCTTCATAAATCATTAATATTCAATCAATTTAAACTTGTTGATCTGGACAATGAACTTTTTTTTTACAAACATATGTTCACACAAGCTTTCTTTAATTCATAATTTTTGTACATGTATTATAAGAATTTTGTCTTCCTACATGTATTTCTGCAAAACATTTTTAAGAGGGGTTGCTCAAAGAGAAAATTCACAAGTTTTACCTCCAAGATGGTGGCCAAAGGAAAAAAATTGAAGGGAAAATACATAATAAGAAAACTATCTTTTACCAATTTTAAGAGAACATGAGTCTTGGGAAAATTATCACTGTTCCTTGACAAGGTCAAATTGTCGTACCTTTATGAGAGAGACAGCAATGGCACTTTTCTTGACTTTACCGTCGAGCTGTTTACAAACACCTCGTACGAACTGGTGTGGCAACACAAAGATCAGAATGTCAGCATTCTCTGCAGACTCCTTCACATCAGGTATAGCAACCTAAAATCAGTCAACGTAAAAATAAACGTAAAATGATGTGTTATACATGTACATGTATCATACATGTAGTTACTACTGCATGGATCAGTCTTTTTATTGAAAGATTTTTTTTTCCTGTTTACTGCACGTACCCCCACCAGCAGGAGGGGGAAACCCATTAACATGCTGGACTAATACATGAACAGGGCTAGTCTCTATGGTTTAAAAGTTAGTGTCGACCCCTGTACATGTAGTTACTACTGCATGGATCAGTCTTTTTATTGAAAGATTTTTTTTTCCTGTTTACTGCACATTAACACTGTCTCTCTCTAAAATTCTTGTTCAAGTTACATTAACATCAAAGACTGTCCATTCATTGAATTGTTTTACCAATATATTTCTTACTAAATTATTAACATGATTAAATTAATGAATTAAGAACAAAACTTGTCACTTATTTAACTGAAAACATGGATGAGATATACTGTTTTCGTTCTTCTTTTAATATACATGTACACAATTTAGCTACATTTACCCTCATTATTTATCTCTTGTGCGATATCCCAATATGTTAACAAAAAACTTAAGTAAAAATGAAATGCAGAATTTACAAAACTTATTTTTAATATGAATTATGAATACTGTTAATGTGTATACAAACATGTCAAAATAATGTATGTAACTTTCATAACTTTCAAAGTATTTGTGTAAAAATTTATCCATATTTTGACACTTTTCTGTCAAACTTACGACACTCTTGGGAAGCTCAATTCCTGGGAGATATTTCACATTGACGTGGTCATTGTTTATGATTTCCGTTAGATTCCGCCCGTCCACCTTCTCCTCAAACACCCACATACGAACCTCTGTGTCAAACTTGTCTGGCATGGCCAACACATTGTTTCCCACAATTTTGGCAATTGCTGAACCCCTACAATAAACAAATATATTAAGTACAGGTATTATCTGTATCTCAGATATAGAGTACTGAAGATAATTAAGCATGATAGGAAATTTTGTGTCATTTTGACAAAATATAATTATATTTCAAATCAGTTTTATATTTGAATTTGTACATCTCATGATACTAAAGAATTCAACATTTAATACTGATCAAAAACACCCCCAAAGGACTTGAGAACCTGTAAAGATGTGAATCATGTTTGCATTAAATACATGTATCATATTCTTATTTTAAAGCCCCCTTCCCATTCCAATTCTTGTGTCAGTCTAACCTTTGGTATGCAGATGTATTGTATTATTGTAGAACTGTAAAACCCAGGTTCCAAATAAAACAAGGTTTTATTTCATGAAATGATACAATAATTTTCCATACTATTATAGTGTATGATAATAAATGTCGTGAAACTAAGACATCTTCCCTGCAAAGGAAATAATGCATGGATTTTATCATTCTCATTTTTTAAAATGCCACATATTGTCCATACAGAAAGAGAAAGTTCTGTATATCTTAGGACTCAAAATTTTCTGAAGTGAATATGTTTCAGATATTAAATGATAAATCTGTGTGTGTATATATTTTTTTATATCAAGTTTAATTCTTCTTGAGCAAGAACAAAGACTGATTTAAAATTACTAACAAGACACACACTGTTTCCTATCATCTGTTTATATTTCCACTGGTGATATGTTTGCTTACATGCCAGTAATTTAACTGTCTAGCCACAGATTCCAAAATTTGCCTTTAAATACCTAGATCATTGAATTTGGCACTGCCCAACTGCCCCAATGTGCCAGTGTTGTGATTGCTATATCCTACCTTAACCTAAAAACCTTATCAAAGAGAAAACCATTTTGTCAGGTAATAAATCCGCTTGCACCAAAGGTATTGTAAAGATAAGATAAAGATAGGAGTGTATATGTACAGATTGATACAATATGAAAAAAAAACTCTGCTTAGATGAAGACAAAATTAAATTCATAACCAAGATGCTGGTGCCTTTAAAAAAAAAAATAGAAGTATGGTTAAATATTGTATACATTTAAAAACTTTCTGCACAATCACAGGCCCTCACCATGTAAGTTTATGATGAAATGAAAGTCTACATAGGTCTACCACTCTTACATGTCAGAGAAGCGTCTAAGTGCACAATGCCTGAAATTTGTGACCTTTTGCATTTAAAATTTACATTTTAATTGTACACTAACTATCCATTGTGTCATGGTCGGTGAAGTTCATTTTACTAATCTATCAAGTATTTATATATGTTAAAGTAATAATTTTTTTGCTTTGTTTTTGGCCCTTAACCATTTCAAGTTTAAGATGATGCAAATTGATATAAAGCATAATATACTTGTATGCATGTTATACTAAAGTGTACATTTGACAAAATGGACATAAAATAAGTGGCATGCAAAAAAATCAGAAACTATCACAGTTTAATTTTAAGAAAATTAATGAGATGGATTTGTAAGAAAAATAATGAGTTGTCAGATGAAATGTTAAAATTAGCTACTAATATATCATGTATTAAATAAAATGAAACGGAACAGAAAAGGCAAAATTGACAGAAAACAGTCAACTGTTCATTAAGGAACCTTATCTGCAGCTTTGCTATACACGTACTTATAATCATAAAATTCATTATAAATCTTCGTGAAACATAATTTGGCCCATTTTTGCATCAATGTCATAATTCATATAAATTTATGCCTGGAACAAATTGAAAAAAAATTTACTAGGCCTAGTCAAAAATTTTAAATGTTTGCAGCAGTTGAGAATTACAACTTACAAACATTATCAAGATGATTTAGAAAAAGAGATAATGATTTACTGATAATGATCAACATTATGAACACATATCTGCATTCTGTGGACTTTGTACCAGCCGGTAAATTCCAGCTAATAATGAGAAAATTCGAACTAAACATGTTACGACTGCATAAAGAAAAATGGTTCAAAGAAAGGGATTTTTACACATAAAATAATGTAACAAACCAGTTTCCTGATCCTACAATGCAGACTTTTTTCTTCGATGATGCCATTGTTGTGAATAATTCTAAACACACGTTGCCGAATACGCGTTGCGGTTACCTTCTAGAGGAGGCAGTGTCTCAGCCGATGAATTTGATTGGATAAGGAGAACAATTGAGGTGGAGCTAGTTTATCTTGGCGGTAGTTTCGAAAAAAGGACAACGTTCCAGTCATCCTAGTATGACAAAATGCACTTTATAAGGATTCATGATATTCCTATACCAATGATATTCCTATATAAATTCCTGTATTAAATTTTCGCACTGGTTTAAGTTATGAATTATCATAAATTATTCCCCCATACCTTTCATCCCCCTTGTGGCCCCAATTTTAAACAGGAGGCCCATGGGCTACAATGCTTGTACACATGTCACTTTGGCCCTACATCTGATCATAACCCCCACCCCAATATGTTTATATGTGATAACCTTCTGTGGCCCCACCCTATACATATAGGATCCGACTGGCTTGATGGATCTATACTACTTTAAGACATTAGAGGAAGTATACACATTCATATGATTGATTCATCAATCCAGAATTTGGTTAGAGGAGTCGCATATAACCCGTCGGACGTCAAAGGTTTACTACCAATATATGTTGCTGATTCAGTCATGTGATCTTATTTGAATTTCTTTCAAATGTCATACATTTGAAATCGGAGTTATTTTGTGGCACACCCAACAGTTTGTTCTTTTTTCAAAGCCTACTTATATGATGTTGTAATCAAAACCTGTTTATGATAAAGAATTGCACAAATTAAGAAACATTTTTGAAGAACATTATGCACAGCGAAATATGAAATGAGTGACAAGGCAGTTTCCAGCAGAGAAATGTAAGGATCTGATGCGTATTCCTTCACTAATCACATCCAAGGTAGGTCTGAATGGAGCGTTGCGGAGTTAGCCGAGTTTGCCGATTGGCCCAAGCCAACTCCCTCGGGTCATAATTTGAACAATTTACAATATCTAGGACTACTATAATGTACCTCATAAGGCTTTCACATAAGTCTAAGCTTTTCTAATTTTTTTTCTTGGAGAAAATTTTTCTAAATGTATTTCAATGTAACTAAAACTTAATTTGATTTCCCCTATCATAGCATAATCCTTACATCCTGAGGCCATGATTTGGAATCTACACTACCTTAGAAAGCTTCCACAAAATTTTCCATTTTTCTGAAGAATGTTTTTATCCAGCTTTCTTCCATTATCAACTTTTCCTTATTTATATTCTGCAGTAATATTCCAATTTCATGTGCATATATATGGTATTTATGTATCAAAATTTATTTGATACTCAAAAACTGAGTTTGATCAAATTTAAAATCAACACAGACTATTGATAAATAAGTTGATGTGACAAATTTCGAAAGTCTTGTTTAAGGTCAGCATTTCATAAATTCTTTGGTTGGTATAATGACCTTATCAGTATAAAATATGTACAACCTATCATTCGGTTGTATTTTGATCAATAATATACCAATTGTTAGCTCTTTGTTTGTTGCTAAATTATGACATCACTTTCCATTCTAATTGTCAGCTTATTTAATTTAATACATAAATATGTACTTAAAAGGTCTTTATTAATAATTACAAGTATTATCACAGGCAAATAATTCTACACATACATGTATAATAGCATTTGTTTGTCATAAAAGCAAAACTTTCATCCTTTACTCTTAGTCTTGATTATTTCTCACCATGTTTTCACTGTTATCATAGAGAAATAAAGAAATTCCTGAGTTTTGAATCATGGCCTTTCAGATTCTATGCTAAATATTTTCCTCAGTTCGTGGAGAGCACATGCTGATAGACTGTCAAATGGCAACACCATTAGAGTCTATTGGTCTTAGTGTGAACTGCACATTTTCATCTCAGCCCATATTTTTGCGATTCCCCCATCCTCTACGATGATCTGGAATAAGAAAGAAAATTCAACATTTAAACTGGAACTGAGCAAAAGTCTTCAAGAATCAAATACCTTTTCATAACTCCATTTATCCAAGAATATTTAAAGTTTAAGCAATGCTTATTTCCTCACAAAAGAATTGGGGGGAGGGGGGTATATGTGATTGTGTATTAGTTTGTCCTTGAAGTGACATAATTTGCATTAGGATCGATGAGGAATGCTGTCTTGATTTATAGATATGGTCTGTGCTAGGGGATGCAACATTTTGCAGTCCACTTGTTATAGTGTACTAATAACTATACTTTTAATTCCATATGAACAACATATCTCTGCACAATTTGCTTCACACTGTGATCATGTATGTACTAAGGCAGAAACAATTCATCGAAATATCGATATTGTTCAAAATAATTCATCAATTCAATATTCGATTCACTACCTCAATTTTCAATTCAATACATTTTTTATAATTAGGTTAGATTACCCCTTGAAATGATGGCTTTGTCCTCATTTTGACAGTTTGACATACATGAGAGAGAAAACTGAGACAGAGAAAGTTTTAAAGCAGGCTGCTGCAGCGCCGCTGCTAGAATTGACACAGACAAGTTGCTTTTTTAATCGACAGAAGCACAAGAAGTGTTTTCTTTTTGTATTGCCACCTTCTATGTATCTTTTGGAATCTGAATACTGTAAATCACTTTTTATTCGCGAGAACTTTATTTTTGCGTAATTACGCGAGACAATGTGCTCGCGAAAATTAAATTCTCCCGTATAATAGTATTTCTTAAGATTATATAGAGCAATAACCAGAATACGTGAAAATTTTGTTTCGCTAATCACGAGTCAGTGACTATCTCGCGAAAATTAAGTGATCTACAGTACATGTTTTCTTTAACCTAATAATCTGTTTCTTTTTGTTTTTAAAATGTATTGTATCGAAAAAAATTGAATTGTGACACAAGTATTGGTATTGGTATCGTATTGTGGAGGGGGTGTATTGTTTCAGCCTAGTATGTACAATTTAATTCTTAAAAGAGAGTGAAACATTTTTTGAAGATGGTTTTAAAAATTTCCCCAAGAAGACATGTGAAACTGATCAGATTCAGTATTAAAGAATTTTATTTTAATAAGAAAATTAACAAATGAAAAGGAAAAAAAACAGGAAACACTCTATCAGTTACCCACTCATGTACTTGTAAAAGAGATGATCTTGAGAAGTACACATTTATAATATTATTTTACCATCTTTCCAGTCGTCCATTGCCCTGGCTTTCTGTAGCTCCTCTGGATTGTCTTGTTCAATCTTATTTTCTTTTTCCTCTGCCTCCCTCTCCTGGGCCTCTTTATCTTTGTCTGGATCACTTGCCCAGTCTTGCATGCTGTGTCCCCTAAAACCCACAAAACAGAGAGCTGTACATGTATACAGTATCAGTGATGCATTAAATGGACTCATTCACTGACAAAAATCTACTGGGAAAAAATATTTTGCCAACTACAATACATATGCCCTCAACCAAATAATATCATTGCACTGTTTCTATCTCAACAAACCAAAAATAACTTTAATGAGATATATAGTAAAGTATATATTATTTTAAAGGCAATATATTAAATTTAGAAAATTATTTACCAAAAATTTTTCTTCATTTGTTTGAATATTTAATTTTCCCTACATGTTTGAATTGAAATGAGAGATAGTGTGAGTTGCAAAAATAAAAGGATCCCACTTTTTACATCAATGGTTTTCAGTAGATTTTCAAATCCATTTCAAATGCACTATCTCTTCACATCAAGAAAATTATTATGCTATTATTTTGCCATTTTTTCCTATTATCATGAGACCAGACCATGTCATCTGCATGCCTTCTGACTTCTGATACATATTAACATTCCAAACTACTTTGTTTTATTGATGACAAGCAGAGTTGTCCCCCTTTAAGAAATGATCTATTAAGACAAGTCCTTACTGTGATGTAGGAGGATGGAAGGTGCCATCTTTGACTTTCTGTTCATAAAACTCCTCTATGGTCATTGTGGGTAAGCTGGGATAACCTGCACCAAACACTGCCTTCTGAATCATGTCTTTGGTGATGATGAATGGACGGAATGCCTGTTAAAGGTTAAAAAGAAATAAATTTCCAACCTTCTCAAGAAATTTTCTGGTCTTTTTCATCTTCCTCCCAATAAATTCCTTTTGTGAAAGCGAGACCAAGATCAAAAAGTGAGCTTGTCAAGGTTTAATGGCCCAAGAGCCTGTGAACTCCGTCTTCAAAAAGAAATTCATGAATTATAATAAATTCGGATAGGATACCTTCCTCTGTTCCTTAGGTTTGTTTTCGGGAGGTTTATCATCTAACGCTTGATGCCGCAGGCCTAACATGGTGGTCTCAACTGCAAAATACAATACATTCAGCATTACTCAGAATCTTCACTGCTATGTTAGAAACATGGGGTTATACTTTCATCCTAATTGTGGAATATATTTATATACTGTAGAAGTACTTTTTTCCGCGTGGTATTAATTTACGCTTTGTCCGCGGACACAAACTTTCCGCGGAAATATGTCCTAGTGTACTTCATATAAATGTATGGCATATAGTGACAGTCTAAGAAATCCACGTAATTTTCTACCCGCGGATTCATACATGTCCAAGAACGAATTCGATGTCGATATCGACAATATCGACAATTTTATGTCGATATCGTATCGATATCGATCGTGATCAGCACTATTAATTGGAAATACCTGGTGCCAAATTTGAGACACTATATTACGTCGATGTCGTCGATATCGACAATATCATGACGATATCGTATCGATATCGATCCTATTTGCATAATCTATTTTCACATTGAGGTATAACATTATTTTACAAAGTCAAAAGTGAAGTCAAAATTGATTCATTATTGGCATGAATATGAAAATAAACTAGTGCTAATTGTAATGGGAACCGTTACAGATGTTCCCCAAACGCTCCCCAACTCCTTTTTGGTGCCATATTCCTGTAAGCTTCATTAAATAAGACAAACTCTGTGCATTTTTGACTTTACCAACGTTTTCTCAGAAGGATACCAATTATATTCAGATTTTAGCATTGCACCTGTGCGCATGTGAATGCATGTGCGTTATGATCATATCATCTTGTCTACACTATCTACATATTTTAATATACAATGTATTAAAGCATTCAGTCCAAAAGTATGAAAAATCACTCTTTCAAGTGTATTTTTCATTTCACTCGTTCCAAATGCACGCACGTGCGTGCACGTGCATGATGACCATACCTTCTTGTAGGAGTCCCTTATATCTATCTATATTCTAAATCCCATCCTGTTTGGTTGAAAACCAAGGGAGTTATAGCCATTTCAAGTTTGAGCCAATCAGATTGCAGCACACGTGCATGCGCGTGATTTGATGATTTTTTTTCTACATCATATTGTAGGATATCCTAATGCATGACTATGTTTTAAATTTCAAAGCATTTCGTCAAAAAACAAAGGAGATATAGCCATTTAAAGTTTCAGCCAATCAGATTGCAGCACGCGGGCATGCGCATGCTTTCATGAAAATTCTTATATATCATGCTGTAGATCTTCATAATGTAGGTCTATGTTCAAAATTTCAAAGGATTATGACAAGAAACAAGAAAGATATTGAGACTTTAGTTTCAGCCAATCAGAGCGAAGCGCACGTGCATGCGCGTGAGATCTTACTATTTTGACCATATCATTTTGTCTATGCTTCTAATATATACTTATAATATGAGTTTCAAAGCATTTCATCAATAATTTAAATAGTTACGTCTGTATCAATTATATTGGACATTTCTCGTGTTGCACGTGCGAGCTCTTGCAAGCACATGTGCATGCACATCCTTTCATGATAAATCTTATATTACAGGCTGTAGATCTCCCTAATGTATGACTATGTTCAAAATTTCAAATGATTTTATCAAAAAACAAAAAAGATATTGAGACTTTAGTTTCAGCCAATCAGAGCGAAGCGCACGTGCATGCGCGTGCAATCTTGCTATTTTGACCATGTCATCTTGTGCATACTACTACCGGTAATATATCCTCACATTATAAGTTTCAAAACATTTCGTCACAAAATAGAAAAGATACGGTTATATCCATTATATATTGGTCATTTTAAGTTTTGCACGTGCGCGCTCTTGCAAGCACGTGCGCGCAAAATGACCTTGATTCCGCAAATCTACATAACATGCCTACTTACCATAAAAAGGTTTCACCTAAGTCGGATGTGTAGTTTACAAGATCACTCGCGTACAAAATTTTCCCAGGAAGAAAAATAATAATAATAAGAATAATAATAATAAGAAACAGAGTAAAAACAATATGTTCCCCAACTTCGTTTGGGGAACATAATTATGATTAAGAAATTTTTCAGGTTGTTATTGTTTTAGATTAGATTTAGAGTAAGATGTTGGGTTAGGGTGAAAATTCTTGAAAATGTTTTAACAATCATGATTCGATATCGATACGATATCATTGATATCGACGATATCGACAGTAAGGTAAACTTATTAAACACAGAAGTCTTGTAAAAATAAAGTTTTTGTATTAAGGTGAAGGTTGGTAAAATAATATGCTTTTAACAATCATGTTTCGATATCGATACGATATCGTCATGGCAGGTAAAATCTTCGTAAAAGGAAAGTAATTAAACATAAACACATTCAAAGTAGCAGGGAAGGTATAAACAAAGGTTGAGCGAACATGATTCGATATCGAAGCGATATCGTCGATATCGACGATATCGACACTTCAGGGAAAGATTTATAAAGAAAGTTTTAAGTAACAGTTGTTAAAAACAGCATATTAAGGATGGAAACCACAATTCTTGAAACAATCATGATTCGATATCCGCACGATATCGAGGACACTAACAGTAAGAAAATAGTCTTAAAACAGGAAGCATTGTTATAAACACACGAGAATAGAGAAATATTATAGAAAACTATAAAAAAAAAGTAATGTGTCGATATCGTAACTACATCGTGTCTTGGACATAACTCCGCGGATTAAACAGAAATTGAGATTCCGCGGAATAATGACCCCGTGGAAAAAAGTATGTCTACAGTATATCTGGATCCAGAAATTTACCGGTACATTCAATTTCTTCACTTAGTGACATTTACCCTGGAGAGATTCCAGACTCTCTTTTGCAGTTCCAACCCATTGTTTAATTAAACCCAAGAAGTATTCTCTCTGTAATCAGAATAAACACAATAAATCCTACATAGAAAGAAGTATAAGAAAACTAAATCAGAGATACAAAATTTGCCATAAATTTGCAGTTCATATTCAAGATGCTAAAATTTCAACTGTTGAAACTCCCCATCTCAATGCGAGAAATTGAAATTATGAATATCAATTCACTGTGAAATCACTAACTTTCACTGGGATTTAGTTTTTGTTCATTTCATGGTATGGAGAGACCAGAACAGTATAAAAATCCTCCCTTCACCCTATGAAATCAAATCTCATTGTACCAACATTTTTCCTTAAATCACAAAAAATTGGCATCATGAAAGTAAGTGATTTACATTACTATATTTAAAATAATCTGCATATTGGGGGTTATATAAGTAAAGTTATCAAAAATAAGTTATCAAAATAAGTATAGATATAGTTATTTAAAATATACTAAGCCCAGAAATAATATCATTGGGCTTGTCTTTCTTTAACATGGGAAGAATGTAACCTTTATTTCATCATCTACATGTTCTTGCTTCATTTTCTCGTGGAGTTCTGTCACTTTGGCATCAAGCTCCTTCTTTTCTTTAAAACTTTTGATCTTCTCCTCTCTGGTCTGCATTTGACCAGCTAGTCCTTGTGGAGGTCTAAAACATCATATCAAATTTTAAATATCAGTAAAATTAATATGTGTATGGAGTCGGACCCATGTTTTTAAGATTAGAAAAGAGTTAAATATCACATACAATATGTGTAATTAAGTAACTGATTACCCATTAGGACACACAGCTTTTTGCTGACTCTCAGAACTTAGATTTAGAAGCTTCTTATCAATTTTGGCTACTCCATAACTATCACAGTTTCTAAGGAAATCTGTGTAATATGCCTGGAATAAAAATATGAACAGATGAAAGTTCTATTATTCTCAATGTCTGAATCAGCAAATCTGGAGTTTAAAAATCTATAATGCGACAAATTGTCACTTTTATTTAGACTTACTGTTGCTTCCTTTACTAAACCTCCCCTGTCCTCCATTTTCTTCACAGTTTTCCTCTCTGTGAAATATCCCACAAATGCAGGCAACAAAAGGTACCTAAAAGTTTAATTTTAACATGAATTTTTCGATTTCAAGTTACCATGTACTTATATTGTACTGAATCAGAGGGTGACATTTTTATCCATAAATGTCTGTTTCCTCTTAAATCTATAAATGACATGGCAAATCATATTAACTTTATGGTCAAACTGATTTGTGATGTCGTTACATGTACATTATATCGATACATCATGCAAATATGAGATTTAATGTTCATTTTATGGCAAAATGTTTGGTTGTTATACACCAATTGTTATCTAATACAGTGGATTCCATTTAATCAGATAGTGGTTAAACGAATATTTCGGCTAATCTGATACAATATCAGAGCACAAAACCATTTCTTATATATTTATTAATAATTTCATCTGATATTCCGATAGGAAAATATGGGATTTTCGTTTTATCTGATACAAAAATTTCGCCTATCATAGTGATTTTCATAATAATTGTCTTGTTCACACCTCTACCTTCTGTATGTAAATCCTTTGTTTACACAAGTTTGACATTCCAGACACGATAATGAGGGGATTAGTCACGGCTGAGCGGGCGAGCACCTTACCTGTGTTAACAGTGGGCACACTAGATCGATATGTTTTGATAACAATGATGATGACTGGCTTGGGTGTTAATTTAGATCATTGATAATTGGCTTGTGTGCAATTTTGTTTGGTGTGAAGTTTTAATTATTGAACTGTTCAGTTTGAATATGACACTTCGCTTGGACATTAAATTAAAATTATCAGAATTAGACTGTCTATTAAATGGTAGCGCTTGGTCATTTAGTTGAATATGTGTTCACTTTTAAGTGCAATTTTAAGAATTAAAACACATGCACTCCGTATAAATATACGTCTGAAAATTAAATCCATCAATGAAAGTGACATAACATATAAGTAAAGATGAAACAATAAACTTTTTTTTAATTATTAATCAGCAATCCGGAAAAAATGGTTTACGTAATATAGTCCTGTATTCAATCAACTTCCGTTTTTCCAAAATGGATGCCATCAACGAATGGGATGAATGTAAACAGGTGCCTGGTGCTAACAAGATTTATAGAGATGGAAATAAGTTTTATACTTCAATTAAAAACAAATTATTCATACAAAATCACATTGAACTTGTTATTATAAATTAAGTGAAATAATTCATTTCCTGACTTGGTACATTCATCGAACGAAAACGAAAGTACAGGTACGTAATACAACCTTGTTGAAATTGTTACTTGTGTACTGTAGATCTGCTGTTTGTACGGAAATATTGCAATCGGCTATTCCAATATTCGGCTATACGGATAAAATTATTCTGACAACCTGACTATCCGTTTAAACGGAACCCACTGTATAATGTCTTACAGGAGACAAAATTCCAATTTCATAGCTTCCAAATTGATATGTTATAAATATGACATTAAATATTATGAAGAGAATGTCAAAATAACCACCCCCTTTTTGCAATTTTCTAAGCATCCGGGGTGGTTAATACGGATTATACTGTAATCAAATATGTGCATTAAGGCCATTCCAAGTTTTTTCTCTGTTTAGCATCCACCCATCTTACAAAAACCTAGCTACCTATTCGCAAAAAACACACAAGTCAAAAAAATAAAACACATATTTTATAGTAATAAGAATGACGTAATTCAAACAATATGATTTCATTTATCTATTTTTCATAAAGACAGTTATTTTCTTCAGCAAAATCAATATATTTAAATACTGAAACTATTCCAATAATGCAATATTATACAAATATTTAGAGATATTGCCGGAAATCACAAATTTTGACCCAAATAATTAATTTTCGGATTCTCTTTGTTTTTTCTGACATGGGGTGTCAAAAACCAAGGCGCACGCGGATGCTAAACATAGAAAAAACTTGGAATGGCTTAATTATTTTAGAATTACTTTATTTCATTTGTTGCCACCTCTTCAATCTCTTCGTTACTACTGAACAGACAGAGCTCATTCACCATTCTAATGGCCTTCATTCCAGCTGTTATTCCTGTGATGATTGTTTTCTTAAAAAAATAGAAATAGCTATTAGCATTTCCAATATTCAAGAATTCTGTGCAGCCTATAAAATATTTCTCTTCGCCTCATAAAAACTCTTCATTGACAATATCAATTTCAGTTCCTCTTTAACAAAATACTCTCTGATGCAGCGTCAAAATATCATGTTGGAATCTGATGCAGATATTAAAGAAAACAAAACATGAACTGAGAAAATTCGAGATAAAAAACCATTTAAATGTGAACCTGAACATTGTATGAAGACGATGGTTCCTCTGTGCTGTTCAGCTTTTCCCAACAAGACCAAACCGTCTCGTACAAGTCTGGAAGTCTTTCTTCTCCTCCCTCTGCCATTTGCTTAGTCAGAAAGTTTCAGTTACTTAGCCTACTCAACTCTGAACTCATTTCTATTTTCAGCACCAACGATTATGAGGTTGGTAAAACTAGTCCTCTTCAGCTACCGGGTTATCAACCAGCACATTTTACTCTCATTACATTGTTTTATTTTTATCAAATACTTAAAACATAAGCAAAAGAAAAATTTTGATTTTTTTTTATTCAGAAGGTAGGGAACTTTATTTTTAAGTTTTAGGTTTAATATTGATTTTACTCAACTTCCCCTTAACCTAGTTTTATACGTCCCCAAATAAAAACATGGCTAATCAACAGAAAGTCAACTTGGGACGTCTGCTTTTCAAAAGATTACGTCGTGAATTGCAAGAAACAGTTAATTCAAAGGTGAGGTTTATGCATTGTATACTAAGTCGTATATTTTTCATCTAATAAGAATGTCTATCATCCGTCATTTTTCTTCAAAGTCAGACTTGTACATCTTTTTTTTAAAGTCCGAATTATCTCCATTTAACTTTTCAATTCTGAATTCTGCTTTTTTCCCTTAGCCACAGTGCTCAGGTGAGCGCTGTGGCCCATGGACCTCTTGTTTTAAGAAGTATTATTAGGGATATGAGTATTTAATCTTAATTTTATTTATTCTGTGAATACTGTAGTGTTGCAAGGTAGGCCTTTAGACTCAGCTGTGCTTTTGAATCTTGTACCTACAAATTTTATGTAACAGAAATAAAAAAATAGTAATCATATCATATAACCCTGTTTTGCTACTCAAAAGCTTGCTCTGAGTACAATCAATTTCATTTTAAATGAGTATATTGAGACAGGATACTCACTGATAAGTTGATGTTAAAGGGATTTCAACAGCCTCATGCATTTGTCAAAATATTGAAGTCAGCATTTCTTAAATTTTATGGACTCTTTAATGACTTTGTTAAATGTAACAAATATGACCTATCATTGGGTCTTATTGGCAGATTTGTTTTATACCACCTGTAAGGCCTTAATATCATTTTTTATACTGAATTCATAGGAATAGTTCGATCCATCTACTTGATCAATATGTATGGCAATTGAATAAGGCCAAAATAAAATTATAGTTTGTTTGGAATTGCCTCCCACCTCACTGAAATGACCCCTCCTGAAAAAATTTTATTGACCAAAAGTAGGACAATTTTTTTTTTATTTAATCATTTTTTTTTGCCCATTATCTGTATCACATGCACCATACAAAACACTGAAATAAAGTGTCTAATATTTATCTTCAATTAAAAAAAAATAATAATTTCCCTCCCTCCCTCCTGCAGTGTCTGAAACCCTTCAGGCGGCAATTCCAAACAAACAATTTTTTAAGGATGGCCTAGTGTGGCTGGTCAACAGGGGTTACTTACTCCCCCCAGGCACCTGATCCCATGTGCCCTCTTCACATATTTGTATTTTTTTAATAGATTTTTTTTAGATTGATTACTGTTCATTATTTTTGTATTTTACATTTTGCAGGAGAAATTAGCTGATGTACCTACATTTCGATACATAGTGAGCCAGTTTCGAGAACACCAAGTTACGAGTCAGAAGTTATGTAAGGGGCAGAATGAGGTGATGATGGTAGGACAGACCTATCTTTGTATGCTAGAGAGTTTGCGAAAATCAGAGGTAAAAAATCATAATAAATTGTATATTGTGTATAGCCAGTCAAATCAATTGTCAATAAACAATAAATATTCACTAAACATATTTTTGTGCTGTACGCAATTAAAAAAAAATTATAATAATTTTGAAAATTTATTTCTACATTCAATTTTTTTTTTCAGGAATTAGCACAGAGGTACAAAACTACAGAGAGATCTGTTGAAGAGAGTGCCAACCTTGTAGGACTTAGAACACCCACATCTCAATCTGTGGATAATAAATAAGCAGAACAGTATTGGAGGGGGGGGGGGGGTTTGATAAGTATTTGGTGCTGATGACTTGAATATTATAACTTTTTTCCCACATACACTGGCTGTATTGTGTAAAGAAGCATTTATGAGTGATGTCATCTTTACACTTTTCTTGCCAAGATTGATGGTTAATTTATGATAAAAATGAAAGTTGTGAATAGATTAATACTTATTTTAATTGTACATTGCATAATGTCATGATTATTTATTTCTAAATATATATAGCATACTTGAACTATTGAAGTACTAAATTTTACAAATAAATTTAGATTTGAAAAAAAAATGCACATTTTTGAGCATCGATCTGTACATATTCACTCTGTGTTGGGAGTATGAATTCGATATTTCCAATTACTTTATTTTTGGGGTTCAATGATTCTGGTCAAGATCACATTTATGTACAACACATGAATTCATGGCAAGATATAGTTCTGAACTTTGATTTGAACTAAATTAAACTTTAAATGTTCTTGCCTGTGAAGTTGTATAGGCTATATGACTGGATTTCTGCACAGATATTAGTGGTTGGAGCACTGACTTGTTATGCAGAGGTCCTAGGTTTGATTCCTATTGTAGCCATTGAATCCTAGTATGGTCCACTGCATCTTTCTCTCTCCCATTACATTTGGTGCCCCAGGGATGTTGGATAAAAGATCTACCAGGAAAGAGTGTGGGCTGGTGTCTTTGGGGGCAAAGACCTTTAAGGGGAAGAATGTAGCTGTCAGATGGGACCAGTTGTAGGTGCATGGCCAAAAAGCTCAGTTGGTACACCACCTGACTGGAGATTAAGGAGGCCTGAAAGGTTCGAATCCTGGTCTTGACTGCTGCATTTCTCCTCTCCCATGTAATGCCATATGTTGGGGAGGGGGGAGAATGGGTTCGATGACCAGTGTCCAGGTACATGCCCAGTCAAACTGAGTCAAACAGCTGTATTTTTTCCTCCTCTCCCTTCACATTTGATGCAGTGACTAGGATGTGACAGGTGAAAGTTCTGCCAAGGTAAAGGCTGGGTTGGTGTCTTTGGGGCTGAAGACATTTTAAGGTCATGCCGGGAGGAAATTGGCAGTCAGATGGGTTCAGTTGCCTGTGGTCAGATAGCTCAATTTGTAGAGCATCTGACAGGAAATTCAGTGGGGCTCGGGTTCAAATGTTGGTTTTGTCCAGTGTATCTTTTGGGGCCAAAGACAGGTTAAGGAAGGAGGAATGTGGTTAGTCAGACAAGTTCTTTGAGGAATAACCACAGCTCTAAATTGGTATAGCACCTGACTGGAGATTTGATCAAGGGGCCTGGGTTTAAATCCTGGTCTGGTCTGTAGCATTTTTCTCCTCTCCAATCACATTTAGTGCCATGCCTTGGAGTGATGGATGAAAAACCTCAAAGGGTTGAGACTAGGTTGGTGTATTGGGAGGCCAAGGACCTTTCGGGAGGAAGGATGTGGGGGTGGGACATGTTTGATCACTAGTGTCCAGGTACATGTATGTGGCTAAGTTTGTATAGCACATGACTAGAAATTCAGAGGGACAGGGTTCAAATTTTGGGTTTGACCACTGGGTCTTTGTGGTCTAAAGACAGGTTGAGGAGGGAGGAATGTGGTTGTTGGAGAATTTCTATCACTATAGTGACCAGATAGCTCAATCAGTTGGTAGCTATAGCACGTACCTGACTGGAGATTGACAGGTCATTTCAGGATCACGTACGTGGCCCAGGTTTAAACCCTGTCTATCCGCTATATTTTTCTCCTCTCCCTTTTCATTTGGTGCCATGACCAGGATGTGACCGGTTGAAAGTTCTGCCAAGGGGAAATTGGCAGTACTGTCAGACGTACGGGTTAAATAATTCGCTTGCTTGTGGTTTAGATTTATCAGTATGTAAAGCACCTGAGAACCTGACTGGAGATTCAGAGGGTCTGGTTTGAATCCTGGTCTGGTCTGATACATTTTTCTGCTCTCTTGCTTAAATGTTAAAGATTTGCATATTATTAAATGTGCTAGACAAGTGTTGTTGCATCACTGCTTTGCATGCACCCCTTGACTTGCAGGTGAAAGTCCTGCCAGGTACAAACAAGAACTTAGGATGTGTCTACGAGTGTGCATGAGGACAGTTTAATTAAAGATAAAGGGATGTAATGGTCTGAGCAGTTTGTGGATATCAGGGTAGCTCATGCGGTCGAGAACCTGACTAGTGAAGCATGCAGGGGTCACAGAGGTTTAATTCCCGGTCCAGTCATACATAAAATACCCACAAAATCATTTTTATTCCATTTTAAATGTCTTTATAGTGAATATAATATATCTAATCTTTAAAAAGGCAGTAAAACATGAAAACCAGTAACAAAGGTGGTTTTTAGTTCTTTTGGGGTATTTAGTCAAATCTTTCCATTGTAATCTTAATCATTTACAAGCTTTGCATAAGACTCGAATTTCCTTATTATAAGCGCACAACTGACCAAGACAATTAAAAATGGAGGCAAAACATTGACGAAACTTGAAGCAAAAATATTTTGTTTAACTGGGCTCGAGTTTGATACATTCTAAGTAAAAATGCCGCTTGGTAATAAGCCAATGTGTGAATTATGTAAAGCTACAAACTCTACTATGTGGAGAAAAGGTAGCAATGGCGAAGTCATCTGCAACTCGTGCTCATTGAAACAAAGCTGTCCTGGAGGCGAAAAGGATTCCAACGACAGTAATGGTAGCATTCCAGAAAGACCTAAAAGTAATGGTAACCTCGCCGGTCCTGTGCTGAGAAAGAGTGCTAGAATCAAACCAACAAAGCACAAGTACATCAGTGCAGCCAAAGCATTGGCAACCAAGGGAAAAAGCAGAAGAATAGTTTTTAAGAAGAGTGTAAATATATTTTTAAAATCGAATTTGTTGAAAACCTCTTGAAAAATGAATAAAACAATGTTTATCAGTTAATTTTCTTTACTTACTTAGGGAATTTGTGATAAATATAATATGTTTAACGGTGTGACCGTTGGGGCGAGCGCAGTTGTACCACCAAAAACTGTTAAAACACTCTAAGAATTGATCATCCACTTCAAACATCAAGCCACACGAGACATCTCGACTAGCTGTGACGTCACGGAGCTCGTCGGAGCTTATGGAGACAGCCGAGCGTCTGTTTGAAACTTAGTGCAATTTTTGTTGAAAAACATTGTATGAAAGATTTCTACAAACTGATCCAGCCTTTTATGCTTTACGTTATTATTTATTTATTTATTTGCACAAAGGACATTGGGCAGTGCAGGAATTCTGGGAATGTTTCATAGAGAAATTACGTATGTACAGATTTCAGTCCGAATTTCCTCTGTTCTTACACGTTAGTCTATTGAGCTCGCTGCGCTCGCTCTGGACAAAAAACTATCATTAACCTATTAATGAGAATTTTGTTCAAATGGTATGTGTAGTGTTCTTGTTTTGCAGCATAGGCCTATTGTCAATTCAATGACTGTTCTTTTTTTTAGCAACCAATCAAAGCTCCTACTGCTGTATCGACCATTGTTACAGGTGAAAGTGTATTTTACGATGTAAGTAAAAAATATTTTCTTTAAAGCTGAATATGATTCATAAAAGGACTTTGTTCGCCATATTCATTTATTCACTCGCTTTATTTGAGAGCCTTTAAACGAAGCCAATCACTTAATGACTGTACCGTGTAATCAGTTGTCATCTGTGTGAAGGGCCAAATGCTTCATAGCACTTGGTAGCGACAAAAAACTACTTTTTCTAATCAGGAGAGTAAGATACCAAAAAAAACTTGCAAAAGTTGTACAGGTCAGTGCAGTGTACAAACATATACACGTAATTGCAATAAAATGAAACAAAGGCAATGTAAGATAACCAGCACAGACACGTGTCACCCTTCCACGCTAATACCTGTGACAATAAAGTTGTCAGGTGTAACGAATGGGAAGGAACTGATATATTAGATAGTAAATTTCTATATTTGAGTTCTATTTCCGAGTCATGTTCAGCTTTAACTTGTTAATGATGTTTAGGGAATTTTACAAACAGTTAAACTTTATTTTGAATGCTGTTGACTGCCCAATACATGTGATGTACCAGTAATATGTCAACATGAGGGGTAACCAGGCTTGACCGTATTAGATAACTTTGAATATATTTTTAATAGTTCAAGATACCAAAGTTGCTATTTTTCTAGTGTAATTTTCTGCAGTCAGCATCATTATCTACTATCTGGGTGTTGATCATATGGTTTTGAATTACAATGGCAATATAAAGAAGGAAAAGGGCATGTCTCAGAGTCATAGCCAAAGGAATATAAATTTGTCAGACCATGATTTATTGTACATTATTCTCTGTTTAGAAGTTTAAACCATCAACTTCTCAATAGAGAATAAATGTACAATACATGTGATGTATCTTATTAAAATATTCACAGTGTCCAGTAGCCCCAGATAGCTGGTATAAGTTTCACAAGACTGTTAAAATAAAACTTTGGTTGATCTATGAATAAGCTGCTTGAAATGTATGACAGTTATAATGACACAGAACTTTTTGGTTTGTTTGATAGGGTATGTACTATCAGTCGGGTGATATTGTGTCCCTTGTTGACCATGATGGCTCCTTGTATTATGCTCAAATTAGAGGATTCATGCAGGATCAGTATAATGAAAAGAGTGTGGTGTTGTCATGGTTACTACCAACACAAAACAGCCCCAAAGTAGGATTCGACCCTTCAACTTACATACTGGGTAAGTTTTCAGTTATTTTCTTATGAAATAAATACCCGGTACATGTAGTGATGTACTGCAAGTATGCATTAATTAGTGCACTCAAATTTTTTGTGCAATAACCCTCTTTCATTGATTAGGGCCATTATATAATATTAGAACTTTCGAGTCGTATTAATTTAAATCTTCTTTAACCGAGTAGATAAATTAACACACTAAACACACCTTAGCAATGAGTAAAGCCCTAAAATACAAGTGCTAAATTAAGAACAGTATCAAGTATTGCAATAGCTATGATAAAATTGATGGTATAGGAAGAAAATTAGGTTTTCATGAAATACAATGCTTGATAATAGATATTGTAGTTTAGAAATATACCTATTAGTTTATGTCTAATACTTTTTGACAGGTCCAGAAGAGGATCTTCCACGCAAGATGGAGTACATTGAATTTGTGTGCCACGCTCCGTCAGATTATTACAAATGTCGCACCGGCCCCTATCTCACTATATCTCGCGAGCCAGAACTGTGTTATATATGGACAACAATGGGAGAAAAAATAACTCCCGTTCCCAGTACAAGTGAAAAGTTTGGAATGAGAGATTCCATGAGTTCGAAATCAACAGGGAGTAAATTCAGTAAAGAAGAAAAGAAAGAAAAGGGACATAAAAAGCAGGACAAAGAAAAGACAATTCCCGTGGAAATCAAGAAAGAGATTATTATTGAGGATTCTTGAATGAGGAATGAATTTTTAGGAAATTCTAGGGCATTTGTAATCAAAGAAAATCAGTGTCATGTTAGGATATTGGTCAATGATTTATGTGAAAAGTCAAATGTACTAAAATAGGAATGTTTGTGAACATTTTCGTACATGTATTTGTTAAAATTTGACTATTTTTCTTGTAAAATAAATATTCCATGACATATGAATTTTCATTGTATCAGTCCTTACCAAACCTTTTATGCACTACATGTACTACCCCTTTTGACAGCTAAAGCCATCTGGGAAACTAGAGAGCCCTTTCCAACCTGATTGGCTTTTGTGGCCTAAAAATAAATATATTTCCACTGTGTAATAAATAGAGGTCTACTAGAACTAAGGAATTTCAAAATATTGAAGGAGGCATCCTTGCTCATTATAATTAACATACATATTCATAATTTGTTTGCTAAATACATGTACATAGGAGCAGAGATGATCTTCAAGCAGTATACATGTATTTTCATAATATGATCAATAGAGTCCTAACAACACATCCACTGATCCAGGGGCCACAAATTTAACAATAATCAGAAGGTGTACTTGTGCATATTATTAAACCATGCTCTAACTTTGTGTACTTCATACGAAGGAGCAGATGACATTTTTAATAACTTATGTATATTCATTGCTGTAAATGATCAATAGAACACCACCCAAACAACAGAATCACTAACCCCAGTGTTTGAAATATTTTGTATCAATGAACAGTATGGGTATGGAAGTGTAACAAGCCAAGAGGAAGACTTGAAAAAAGTTTGCAGCCCTGTCATTCTGTCTGTTGTCGAGTTTTCACATTTTTGTTTTCTTGATCAATCAAAACTATTTGGCCAATGTCAACCAAACTTGTTACAAAGCATCGTTGGGTGAAGGGAATTTATGATTGTTCACATGGAGGTCATGTCTTCTTTCAAGGGGAGATAATTGAAAATAGAGCAATTTTCATGGCATCTTCAACAAATCTTGTTCTCATCAGTCTATAGATTTGGGATTGAAGTAATTGTGACCTGTTTCAGTCACATGTTAATTGTAAAAAAAATATTTAAGAATTATTTCCAATAGATTTCTTGAGGGACTGACCAAATTTCCCAGCAGTCTTGTGGCCCTGGAGGTCTGGCTAATTAGTATCAAAAATGTCCCTTACCAAGAGACCACAGATTTCAAAATTAAGGAGGAAACAATATTTTTCATCATATCTTTGTTCTTAATAGTTTGTCTGCTAAAAATGCACTGCATTGGAGAGTTTTTAAAAGAGAATTTATGCATTTTCACTGCCAAGATCTATTTTATCTCATCCTTACACCATATCCCCCTAATTCCAAGGCCATGAATTTGACAATCTTTGTAGAGAGTTCAATGTGTTTTTCGAGTCCAGGGGTAAAGAAGGAGATTGTTGAAGTATCTTGTTCATATTAGTTACAATGGTATTGATCCCACCACCATGAATTTCACATTTCCCCGTTTCCCGAAAGATGCTATTGACCAAAACTGGTTTTAATTAGCTGTTCTAGAGAGGACGCTGAAAATGTTTAAATGGTACATTAAAACTCCGGTGACATAAATTGATGTACTTTGCGCTTGTTTGGCTATGAGGGAATGTTGTTCTTCTGACTAATTTGATATGTCTGCGGTGAAAATATTTCAGTACACTCAAATAAACATATAAAGCCAACCTTCAACTTTTTATTTCAATAAAACATAAAGGCCAAACATTTCAAATGCATGAAACATGAATATTGGAGATTCACATGCGTATACATATATACATATTCAAGAGCACTTTTTTTCAAGACAAAACATTTTGCTAAAAACGAATTTTATGCACAACAAAATCACCCTGACCAAATAAGCAAAACCAAGAAGAAATTATAAAAAACATCTAGAACACAATTAGTCTAGAACGCTAGCAAATCAAATACAAGAACACCACCCATTTAACAAAATAAGAATAAAACTCAGATTTAATAGATAGTGAAAAAAAACTATGTTGAGATTAACAAGAAGCAAAACGAAGAGAGGAAAAAAAACACATAAAATAGTTTTACAGAAAGTGAAAAACACAAAACCAACTATGGCACAATTACTTGCATACTTTTCATTTTCATTGTGATATTACATGAAATCTAATACTATCATCTAATTTTACTTAAACGTGCATTTAATTAATTATGCATGTACTTATTACATAAACAAAGAACAGTGTACCACTAAGAAAAAAAAATTAAAATGACATCTGCATGCACACTTTCCTGCACCTGTGTTTCAAATAAAAATTCAAACAGAAATCTATCTTCATCCAAAACTAGAAATGACCAGGGGCTTCTATATCTCTCCAGTTGTTTTATCCCGTTTCCTTTGTTTTCATATTTTTGCACATATCTAAAGTCCAATCTAATTCAATATTAAAGGTTTTTAATTGATAAAATTCTCCACTTTGATTTTCATTTCATCTAAAATGAATCTAACAAAAAATAGAGTACAAAGCATGTTTAAAAAATTATGTCAAGGCTAGTCTAGAAAAAAAGAAAGATCAATGCATTTGCAACGTGGCTGCAAACAATGCCTATGGTTAGAAGTAACAGTTTCCAACATATTCTCCTACAGGCATTGTAATCAATTCAAAAAGATTCAATTTGGCACCTGGATATTACATTTAAACAAAAGTATCCCATGATGAATTATTGTGAGGTTAGATCCTGTTGTTGATACATAATGTACATGAAATACACAACAAGAATATTGGAAAAGTTTATATATTGTAAACAATACTGATATGCACATTATATGACAT